GAAATGACATTTATCTATATTTTATGATAGTTTACCAGTAGCATGAAGATAGCACACTGTTGTTTTTTGACACTAAAAATCTAAAATTGGGGGTTTATTAGCACTTTGGGAACAGACTCAAACATTGTGACCTAGTTCTCAGTTGCAGAGTTTGTGTTGCCGTGTTACATGCATGGGAATAGAAATAAGTAGGTGAGCATACTCAAAGCATACAAGTCTGCTTTCTCCGCTGTTACCCCCACATGCAAATTACAGCTTTTAAATACACCAGCCTTTGAACATGAAGCCCGTCCAGATGGAAATGTTCAGCGCTCACTGAGCGCTGCATGTGCGACTATGCAGACAGCTATTTCCTTTAAAGGTGGGATCATTAAATACGTTTAATCAGATTTACTAGACGGCGCATTGCTCAGGGTCATACTGGCGAGTGTGTGACCGCTGTACAATTAATGTGTGAACACACTTGCTACCATGTGTGTGTCCAGCAGCATTTGCACATGCCTTTACAATAATCTGTTTAAGCGTGAGTGTGTGTGTGTGTGTGTGTGAGAGACACACTCTGTTTTGCGTACTATACATCCCCTATTATTCTCCTCAGGCTGTGTATTTCACCATCAGCTGCTCTGCTTTACATCATCCTGTCAAGCTAAACACACATAGATCCACTGTAGAGGAGAGTTTATTTACATGTGTTTTTTCCCGATTTTTTTTTTCCACAGGGCAACTGGAGGACCTGAGGTTGCCATGGGAACTGGCCCCTGGCCCCAGCCCCCTACTGAAGCTGAGCAGCTCCAAGCCCTGATGGCTGCAGCCAACGGTGGGTCCTATACCTCGTCACCTCTTTCGTCCCTCCTATGAGTTCCACCATCTCTTTTCCAAACCTATTTATTGCTCTTCTTCTCATCAGGATGCGTGGGAAGTGGTGGTTTGTTTATCTTCCTGTTTGGTTGGAGAGCAACAAGCCAGACTCAGTCATTGATAAAGCTCTGTCTGTCCATGCTGGCGTTTCCATTTAGTGGACGTGAACCTAGTATTACTACCCACAGTTTCCTTGATGTAGTAAAGCTGATTTGTTGAATATAATAACACAACAGTGAGACACGTTTCCACTGTACACACTTATCACATGTTTAATGTTTTACTATAAGCAGCAGTACTATAAGGGCTACTCGTACATTTATGTAACATTAAAGCCTATATGATTCCTATATGTTACAACACACATCCTCCCCCTTCTGTCCTGTCCCTTCTGTCCCTGCACTGACGGCTTAGGCAGCACTGAGGTGAATTCACACAGTGACTCATCTTCAGGCTTTGTCATCGCATAGAGAAGTACGCAGAAAACAGCAGGATTACCAAGACCAAATGTAGCGTCAGGCAAACACAAATTATACAAAGATGGTGATGATGGAGAGACGAATGTGACGAGGTTTATTGGCAAACAGATTCAAGCCGTCACTTCCAGTGTTATTTCACCACCAATCTGTCCCCCCTTCTTGGACACTGGGAACTGGGCCCTGGTGTGTGACATTTTTTTTCCATCACTGGGAAATGGCGAGATGGTCATGTGGTGGTAACCTGCATGTTAGACAGAATGAACAGTTTGAGCCATCAGGGAGGAAGGAACAAACTAAGCATGTGATAAATACTGAAGGTCATCTCTCCTTTGTGCTTAATGTCACTGTGCCGATAAACACAATGACAAACACGGAACAATTCATTTAATTAGCGCTCCACTTCAGAGGAGAAGGTAATAAAAAAGTGTTCTCTCTAATGGCTTTAGCTCCAGCACAGTTAGAACTGCAAATGTCATGTGCATGTGTGTGTTTATGGAGGCTGAGATGAACTAGAGAATGGGGGAGGGAGGGTTTGTTCCCTGGCTCTGCAATGCAGGGGCTGTGGGAGAATTATGGGCTGAGCAGCTACGTCATGCGCGCTCACAAAAACAGGGCATGCCTGATTTTTTTTTTTTATTTTAAGAAAAGGAACGCCAGATAAACAGAGGAATAAGACATTTTCAGCAACCATGTTGAACAAAAAAGAAAATCCTCTTAACTCTTTTGTTAATATTTCTTCTTGTTCATATCTTTACTTTTTAGGTTCACTTACAGTCTCTTTATGTTTTTGTTTGAACTAAACCTGATGTTCAGACTGAATTAGTATTATAATTTCCTTTTATGTCCCATTTAATTTCACCTCTTCTGTTTATACTAGATATTCTTCCAAATGCTTTTCTAACAAGTTTCATCCCTCTGTCCTCTTCCCTCCTCACCCCTTGTCCCCCAACTTTGTCTCTCTTCCCCCTAGAAGTGAGTGAGGCTACAGCCACCCTCGGGCCCGGCACTATGGGCTTGAGCACCCGCTACAGCCCCCAGTTCACTCTGCAGCACGTGCCAGACTATCGTCAGAACGTCTACATCCCAGGCAGCACGGCCACCCTCACCTCAAACCCCCAGCAGCAGCAGGCCACGGCCCAGCAGGCCACCCAACACGCACTGCCCCCTCCTCACGCCTCAGCTCAACCAGAGCCCCCTAAGGCCGCCCAAACTCCAGCCTCCAAGAAGAAGTCCACCAAGAAGGAGAAGAAGTAGATGTGAATAGGTGAAGGAATGATCAACCTGGGCCTGATCTGATGAGAAATTAACCCTCCACACCCCACCATTAGATATCTTAAATATTGACAGCAAATCACTTGTGACCACATGGGCGATTTTGAAAGTTCTTTGAAAGTGTCTTGAATGCCTCAAAGAATCTGAATGTGTTGAAAGCTGTTAGTGTTTCTAACTTGTGCTGTGCTTAAGGTCTGTTATTGTTCACATAACCGTTGTTGGTATCTTCTTCCCTTCAAGTAGTAATAGAGAATCCACTACATCTATATCGTATAGAAGTGGAAATTAGAGACGTTAATGACAATGCACCGAAATTCCTTAGCAAAGAAAAACATTTGAAAATTGCGGAGTTGACAGCGGTGGGTGCGCGCTACCCTTTGGAGACAGCACAAGACCTCGATGTGGGTATTAATTCCCTAAAATCATACAGTCTTAGCAAAGATGAATGCTTTAGTTTAAAAATTAAAGAACTTGCGAATGGCAGAAAAGTACCGGAGCTTGTACTTGAAAAAACGCTTGACAGAGAAAAACAAGGTATTCATCAATTACTGTTAACAGCATTAGACGGAGGGAATCCTGTCAAAACGGGAACATCAAAGATCACAGTGACCGTTCTAGACAATAATGACAATGTTCCTGTTTTCAAAAAACCGTTATATAAAATTACGGTGCCTGAAAGCAGTCAAAGTGGCTTAATGCTCGCAAAGGTAGAAGCAACTGACCAAGACGAGGGTGTGAATGGAGAAATTGAATATTCATTTGCTGACCATACACCAGAGATATTGCGCTCTATTTTTCAGATTAACTCTGCAACAGGGGAAATTTTCCTTAAAGGAAAATTGGATTATGAAAACTTTGCAACTCACGAGTTAGATATCAGTGCAAAAGATAAAGGAATTCCTGAAATGGAAGGTCACTGTCGCGTACAGGTGGAGGTAATAGATATAAATGATAACGCTCCAGAAATTGTTCTGACTTCAAAACCGAGCCCAGTACCAGAAGATGCACCAAGTGGTACAGTAGTGGCTCTGCTTACAGCTCGAGACCTTGACTCCGGTGACAATGGTAAAGTGACATTATGGCTCCCAAAGGGCTCTCCTTTTAAACTGAAACCCTCTTTTTCTGACAATTACGCACTGGTTACTGGCCGTAATTTAGACCGGGAGACATTCTCGGAGTATAATATCGAGATTACAGCCACTGACTCAGGCTCACCCTCTCTATCATCTAAGAAGACTATTAATGTCACTATCACTGATGTAAATGACAACCCCCCTGTGTTCTCACAGCCCTCTTATAATGTGTATTTAAAAGAGAATGGAGTACCAGGCTCTATCCTGTACTCAGTATCAGCATCTGACCTGGATTTTGGTGAAAACGCAAAGGTCTCTTACTCTATACTGGACTCTAAAGTGCAGGACGTTTCTGTCTCATCGTATGTTTACATTAACTCAGATAACGGCAGCATCTACAGCATGCACTCGTTTGACTATGAGAAACTGAAGGTGTTTCAGATTCAGGTCCAGGCAAAGGATCAGGGCTCTCCGTCTCTCAGCAGCAACGCCACTGTCCATGTTTTTATCCTGGACCAGAACGACAATGCCCCCGCTGTTATTTACCCCTCCTCCGCTGCCATGGGCTCCCTCTCTCATCAGAGGATGCCTCGCTCCGCGAAAGCGGGTCACCTGGTTACCAAGGTGACAGCCGTGGACGCTGACTCGGGCCATAACGCCTGGATCTCCTACAGACTGGCGGAGGCCACAGACGCCTCTCTCTTCACTGTCAATCTGTACACAGGGGAGGTGAGGACTAAACGCGCTGTGTCCGAGCAGGACGACTCCTCTCAGAGGCTGCTTATAGAGATCAAGGACGACGGGGAACCGATCCAGTCCTCCACAGTCACGGTGTCCATCATACTGGAGGACGGCCTCCATGAGCCCATCTCAGACCTCCGACATAAAGCGGCCGAGCCCAGCAAGAAAACTGGGAGAATCACCCTTTATTTGATTCTCTCTCTGGCCTCGGTGTCCGTGCTGTCTCTGGTCACTTTCCTCATCTTAGCGGTTAAATGCATCAGGAACAGCAGTAGCAGCAGCACGTGCTGCATGAGACGGACCGACTCTGATGATTACAAGAACCCCAACAGAAACCTGCAGATTCAGCTCAACACTGATGGACCTATAAAGTACGTGGAGGTCCTGGGAGGAGACATGCTGTCTCAGAGTCAGTCCTTCAGGTCCTGTATGTCTCCAATGTCAGAGTACAGCGATTTCACTCTGATTAAACCCAGCAGCACCACAGACTTTAAGGAGGTGATCAGTGTCCTGGATGCTTCTTTACCCGACAGCACCTGGACCTTTGAGAGCCAGCAGGTGAGCATAGAGTATTAAAAGATGTGACAAATAAAACTAAATTTCAAATATCACTGATTGTGCTCCAGCAGAATTAAAATTATAGCTTTTTTGTGTGAAATCATAACGAGAACTCAAAATCGACTGCAATTATAAATAACTTGTGTATTTAAATTAAAGCACTAAATTTACATTTATTTTTAAATATCCGATCACTTAACTTTTAAGTTATTTCCATAAGTTGTGGTCCTCGGCTGGTTTTATCATTCACCACTGTGTCTGATAGTGTGCAGGTTTTCGAGTTGACCGTTTCAGCACCGCTCAAGTGGACAGCGACTCCCACATAGGCCACGTTAATCGATTTTGAAAAAATAAAAAAAAAAGACATTTCCTCAAGACGGTAACAAATAACAATACCTAAACATTTATATAACATATTTATCTGTTAGTAGATGTTTTATCTTTGTTTTGTTTTACATTTTCCAGAATTATTTATCTTCCCACAGACATCCTAAATTTGTTGTGACTAATATGTTCTATGATGAAAATGCTGTGATGATATAAGGAGTTTCGGGTGTTTTCAATCCTTCTATCATGGCAGTGCAAAAGCCTCATTGTGTCTTTAACGATGCTGCACCGTTGCCTTCTCATTGGATGTCAGCGATGGATGCTGTGCACCAATAGCATTCAGAACTGTACAAAGAGATCTACTCTCTCCCCCATGCAGCTTCAGCCATCACAATGCTCAGAGAGGATAGAGAGTAGGCAAATGGTTCATACACTTTGAGTATAAGATTAAATCTTAATCATATCTTTAGCTATAAAAACGTATCATTCCAATGGGATATGTCGCGCTTTTGGAATACGGATTTTTGCTTTATGGGCTCCGTTCTTTGTGGATATTGTGTTTTTTGTTAATCCAGGGATGACAAAGAGAAAGGAATATCGAGACTGGAGATGGCAGGCGCTTTGGTGGCATCATTTCTTCCTCTTGTGGACTACAGTAAACGCACAGACTCGTTACAGTATCCAAGAAGAGCTAAAACAGGGCTCTGTGGTAGGAAATCTTGCCAAAGATCTGGGTTTGGGACTTTCGGACATTTATGACCGTAAATTGCGCGTTGCTTCTGAGGCTGGAAAGCAGTATTTCAGTGTGGATCCGGGGAAGGGCGAGCTCGTGGTGAATGACAGAATAGACAGAGAGGCTTTATGCGGACAAAGCGCCAGCTGTGTGTTGCCTTTGCAGGTGGTCATTGAAGATCCGTTACAGTTACATCGAATTGAGGTGGAAATACAAGATATTAATGACAATTCTCCACGTTTTCTATCAAATGAATTGTCTTTGAACATAGCCGAGTCAGCAGCAGTGGGTACACGCTTCCCTTTAGAGAGCGCATCTGACCCAGACGTTGGAAGCAATTCCCTTAAATCATACACACTCAGTAAAAATGAATGTTGTTCCCTTAGAATAAAAGAAATCGAGGGTGGGAAGACCGTCCCGGAACTTGTATTAGAAAAGCCTCTAGATCGAGAGAAGAAATCAGTCCACAAAATATTACTAACAGCATTAGATGGGGGGAATCCAGTAAGATCCGGAACCACACAAATAACCATAAGCGTTCTTGACAATAATGACAATTTTCCGGTTTTTGAAAAGAATCTCTATAAAGTGTCCCTGGGTGAAAAAAGTGTACAAGGAACTGTTGTTATTCAACCCAAAGCGTCAGATGCAGATGAAGGTTTAAATGGCCAAATTACATTCTCGTTTGGCTCTCGGACGCCAGACTCGGTGTTGTCGGTCTTTGATATTAACCCTTCAACCGGTGAAATCATTCTGAAAGGGGAGTTAGATTATGAAACTGCCAAGTCATATGACATTGATGTGACTGCAAAAGATAAAGGTAGTCCTCAGATGGAGGGTCACTGCCGCGTGCAGGTTGATATTACTGATTTCAATGATAATGCTCCCGAAATAGTTTTCACTTCTCAGCCCAAGCCATTGCGTGAAGACGCACCAAGTGGGACAGTTGTGGCTTTGATCAGTGCGCGAGACCTTGACTCTGCTGATAACGGTAAAGTAACGTTGCAAATTACCAAGGGCCCTCCCTTTGCTTTGAAACCTTCGTTTTCTAATAATTATGCGCTGGTTACCAGTGGGACCTTAGACAGAGAACGATTTTCAGAATATAATATTGAAATTACAGCCACTGATTCAGGCTCTCCTCCTTTGACCAGTAAAAATCATACCTGTTACTTATCACTGATGTTAATGACAACCCTCCTGTATTCACTCAACGAAATTATAATGTGTATTTAAAAGAGAATGGAGTACCAGGCTCTATCCTGTACTCAGTATCAGCATCTGACCTGGATTTTGGTGAAAACGCAAAGGTCTCTTACTCTATACTGGACTCTAAAGTGCAGGACGTTTCTGTCTCATCGTATGTTTACATTAACTCAGATAACGGCAGCATCTACAGCATGCACTCGTTTGACTATGAGAAACTGAAGGTGTTTCAGATTCAGGTCCAGGCAAAGGATCAGGGCTCTCCGTCTCTCAGCAGCAACGCCACTGTCCATGTTTTTATCCTGGACCAGAACGACAATGCCCCCGCTGTTATTTACCCCTCCTCCGCTGCCATGGGCTCCCTCTCTCATCAGAGGATGCCTCGCTCCGCGAAAGCGGGTCACCTGGTTACCAAGGTGACAGCCGTGGACGCTGACTCGGGCCATAACGCCTGGATCTCCTACAGACTGGCGGAGGCCACAGACGCCTCTCTCTTCACTGTCAATCTGTACACAGGGGAGGTGAGGACTAAACGCGCTGTGTCCGAGCAGGACGACTCCTCTCAGAGGCTGCTTATAGAGATCAAGGACGACGGGGAACCGATCCAGTCCTCCACAGTCACGGTGTCCATCATACTGGAGGACGGCCTCCATGAGCCCATCTCAGACCTCCGACATAAAGCGGCCGAGCCCAGCAAGAAAACTGGGAGAATCACCCTTTATTTGATTCTCTCTCTGGCCTCGGTGTCCGTGCTGTCTCTGGTCACTTTCCTCATCTTAGCGGTTAAATGCATCAGGAACAGCAGGAGCAGCAGCACGTGCTGCATGAGACGGACCGACTCTGATGATTACAAGAACCCCAACAGAAACCTGCAGATTCAGCTCAACACTGATGGACCTATAAAGTACGTGGAGGTCCTGGGAGGAGACATGCTGTCTCAGAGTCAGTCCTTCAGGTCCTGTATGTCTCCAATGTCAGAGTACAGCGATTTCACTCTGATTAAACCCAGCAGCACCACAGACTTTAAGGAGGTGATCAGTGTCCTGGATGCTTCTTTACCCGACAGCACCTGGACCTTTGAGAGCCAGCAGGTGAGAAGAAAAATCCGAAAACTAGTAAAATTATCCCTAACCCTGAATTTAAAATTAACATATCCTGATTTTTTTTTATCCTGATTTTCATTTTGTAGTTCCTTGCTTATTTCTAGCAATGAGTGTAGTGCAACAAGTTCTCCTGCTCGCAGTTTTTTGTTTCTACACTTTCTTATTTGATTATCACTATGGAATGTAGTAACTTTAACAAATCCGGGTATATATTTAATTAAGTGATAATATACATAATCGCTTTCACTCTCTCTACCATGCACTGCGTGTTTGTTTGTGTGGTACTACTATAATGGTAAAAGTCAAATTTTACCACTACTATTGGTTTCAATTTATTATTGCATATCTTTTTTTTCCAAAAAATGTTATCAGTTTCATGTTTTTTCTTACTTTAAAAAGACACTAGTTTTCATAGAATTAAGGCAAACTTACAATTCAGTTGCAACAATTATTTTAATTCACTCTTAATATATGTTAGCGTTTTCAATAAGTATAATCAGTTATTAGTTTTCGGTCTTTATGTTAATGAGGCGTATCAACTATAGAAATCCCCTCTAATTCAAATTGCCAGGATCTTCAAAATGCCTGCCGTGTGTCGTTTTATAGTTTAAAAAATGTGTATTTATTTGATTTGATTTTTATTTGTCTAGAATTACTGAGGTTTACAATGAAGCCTGTTTTTAACCTTTAATCTTCTTCTGATAAACTGTATTGTTTGCCCTCAGGGGAAAATCCGGTTTGGAAACCACGCCCCCATGCGGGCGCAAATAGCATTGCTTTATATGACTTAAGGCTGATACCCCACTGTTTTGACAATGAGAACTATCAAAGAAAACCACGTGGGTGGGGGGTTCTATATAAAGATGACTTATCCTTTGCATTTATGGCTTCGATCTCCGTTATAGGTTTTAACAGACTCTTGGCGTCCTGTGTTATTTGTCTTTCGGTGTAATCTCAAACTTTTGAAACCAATTTTTTTTTTCGAGTTGATACTCGTATGTGGAAGTGAAGTCACTAAAAAGTTTTCGGTGCGTGTGTGAGAGAGAGATGACAACACTGATCCAACCCTGTCTTCCAATGAGAGGGAAGGCCTGAGTTGCCTCTCTCCGCCCATGAGGGGAATCAGGCGGAGGAGACACAAGCAGAGAGTGGAGGCAGAAAAAAACTTTGAGTTTTCGCTCTCGTTTATTTTTTCTTTTTTTTTCTTTAAAGACGGCCGTCATGGTCACATCAAAACATCCCATCGCCCTTTTTCTAAAATGGAAATGTTTAGGAGTGTGGACGTCGCGTTTTAATTCTATCATGGATACGCTACAGTGAAAGAAGTTAGAAACGTTGCCGTTCCCTGATTCTCGGAGCGCAGTACAATGGACTCCGCGCAGACAAAGTACTCGGGAGGAGGGAGGCTGTGGAGGGTTTACTTTTATCTAGCATGGGTCTCCTGTGCGTCCGCTCAGCTCAGCTATTCCGTATCGGAGGAACTAAATCCAGGCTCTGTCGTGGGGAATATCGCTAAAGACTTGACTCTCACTGCTCAGCGGATTTTTCAGAGGAGGCTGCGGGTGGTCTCCGAATCATCAGTGCAGTACTTTGAGGTGAAGCAGACGACTGGCGATTTGATTATTAAACAAAAAATTGACAGAGAGAATCTGTGCGATTTAAGTTCAGCGTGTTCACTACACCTTCAAATACTTATGGATGATCCTTTAGAGATCCATCGCGTCGTGGTGAACGTTCTGGATGTGAATGACAATGCGCCGCAGTTTTCAACCACTAACATTTCTTTGGAGATTTCTGAGGCAGCCGCACCTGGCACACAATTTCGTTTGGAGAGCGCGCACGACCCTGACGTGGGTACCAACTCGTTACGCACGTATCATCTCGCATCAAATGATTTCTTTACTTTGAATGTGGAAACTAAAAGTGACGGCCGCAAGTTTCCAGAGCTAGTGGTGGATAAAGCTTTGGACAGAGAGAGGCAGGCCTCGTTTCGCCTGCTGCTCACTGCTGTGGATGGGGGTCAGCCAGAGAAATCTGGCTCAACACTTCTGCTCATTGACATTCTGGATGTAAATGACAATGCGCCCGTCTTTGACGAACCTGTAAAGAAAGTTACATTATTAGAAAATGCTGCACTGGGCACTTTAGTAACGAAAGTAAACGCCACAGACGCCGATTCGGGTAGCAACGGGGACATATCGTATCTTTTTAGTAAATACACACCACAGCACGTTCTCAATCTATTCACTGTGGATTCTAAAAGCGGGGAAATCCGTGTAAAGGGTGTTGTGGATTATGAGGAGATGAATGCATATCACATAACAGTGCAGGCCAGAGATGGTGGCTCTCCCGCTATGGAGGGCTCCTGTAACGTCATTGTGACCATCACTGACGTGAATGACAACGCACCAGAGGTGAAACTGGTGTCACTGACTGAGTCTATCAGAGAGGACTCAGCACCGGGGACCGCTATAGCGTTCATAAACACACGGGACCCAGACCCTGGTCTGAATGGAAATGTTAAGCTGACTATCACGGCAGGTTTACCATTCAAACTCATGTCAACTTTTGACATGAGTTACCGCCTGGTCACAGCTGGCAACCTGGACCGTGAGACTGTCCCAGAGTACTCAGTTATCATCAAGGCCACTGATGCTGGTTCCCCTCCCCTTTCATCACAAATCAACTTTGTGGTGAAGGTGTCTGATGTAAATGACAATGCCCCCACTTTCTCTCAGCCTTCATACTCTGTGGACATCTCAGAAAACAACGCTCCCAGTTCTCCCATCGCTGTCGTTTCTGCCACTGACCCAGACCTTGGTGAAAATGCACATGTCTCTTATTCAATCCTTACAAGCATGGTGCAGGGCTCACCCATATCTTCTTATGTCTACATCAACCCGAAGAGCGGTCACATTTACAGCATGCGCTCTCTGGATCATGAACAGCTTAAAGCTTTCCGTATTGAGGTGCAGGCTGAGGATGCTGGAGTGCCCCCACGGACATCCAACGTCACTGTGCACGTGTTTGTTGTGGATGTGAATGACAATGCACCAGTGATTGTACACCCCTCCTACTCAAAAGACAAAAGATTAGAGTTCACTGTGGCCCCATCTGCCAGTCCAGGGCACCTTATAAATAAACTGGTCGCAGTGGATGCAGACAGTGGGCACAATGCTTGGTTGTTTTACTCAATTGCTCCTGGACCAAATGCTGGTATGTTCCGTATTGGGGCACACACTGGGGACCTCCGCACAGCTCGAAAGTGGGACGAGGAGGAAAGTGGTTCAACTTATGACATTGTGGTCATGATTCAGGATAATGGCGACCCACCCAAGTCCACTTCTGTGAACGTTACAATAACTGTGGATGAGAAGGCACCAGCCAACGATGCTCCGATTATTCCTCACCACATACCTTTCTACCAACGCAATGGGATGCCAGATATCACTTTGTACCTTATCATCTCTCTAGCCTGTGTGTCAGCGGTGGCCTTTATCACATTTGTTGTTCTCATGGTGCGCTGCCTGAGACACCGTGGCCCAGGGCTGGGAGGCTCTGAATGCTGCTGCTATGGTCACCACAGGTCCAGCCGCTACCATCAGAGGCCTAGCAAGGACCTCCACCTGCAGCTCAATACTGATGGACCCATACGATATATGGAGGTTGTGGGAGGTCCCCAAGAGCCACATACACGGACCTATAGGCCCTGCTACTCCACTATATCTAGCCGAAGTGACTTTGTATTTATGAAATCACCCATGCTGAGTCACAACAACACACTCAACATGACGCTCAGCAAGAAGTACCTTATGAACTCAGCCAGTGAGGTGAGAGATTAAGTGGGAGAGTGAGCATATATACTTTTCACTATTAACATTAGACTTGTGGAAATGCATAAATATCCCAAAACACGTCTCTGTTTTGTTATGCACTGAAAACTTCCCCAGTGACTTGCTGTATTTTATCTTTTACTCCATTTGTTTTGTTTTACCCAGAGGACCAGTCTCTCTCTATATGGTGACAGGGCTCTGAGAGTGCTATTGTTCTGTTAGATAGGT